CCTACTGGGGATATGCCCACAACCAAGGTACATGCCCTTGACCGGAATCGAACCCGGGACCCTTCAGTCCGCAGGCCGACGCTCTATCCACTGAGCCAAACTAGTTAGGGCTGTTTCCTTACTCTTAATGTGAGTCAAAATTAAATATCAGGTGCTGTATTCTTGCTTTTTCAAAACTTTTGTCCCTATTCCTTTTCTCTTATTTTGTCATTTCCATGGTTCACCTGTAATAAAGCATGACATTTTTTAAAACCAAAACATGTCTTTCCTGATTCTCAGGAAGTTTCCCTGTGAGGACATATTTTATTTCATTGGGAATGGAGTAGTGCCTGGATGCTGAATGTGACAGGTATAACAGAAAAGTAGCAAAATCTGGAGTTATGGAATATAATGAAATCAACCTAGTGGTGGAAATCAGGGACATTAGATTACTTTGGACTTCACACAAACAAACAACAATAACAAAAACCTCTGAGTGTTAGAACCAGTCTCAGGATCAGTTTGTCACTAAAGTTATTGCATCATTCCATGTTCTCAAAAATATAGAGCTTTAGTCTGTCTCTGTTTCAGTTTATTTTACAGGAGGTGGACATCACACTTCCAGAAAACTCTGTTTGGTATGAGAGGTATAAATTTGACATCCCCGTCTTTCATTTGAATGGCGAGTTTCTGATGATGCATCGAGTAAACATCTCAAAACTTGAAAAACAGCTCCAGAAACTTGAGCAGCAAGGTACTGGAGGCTGATGAAAGCCCTCGTGATTTTCCATCCTCGCTGTCCAGAAGGCATCTTCCCAAGGAAATGACCACGGCCTTGTATTCCTTTTGTCAACTGTCACACAGCCCTAATAAGGTCTGAACTTAGTGGTACCAAATAAATGTTGACATTTCTCTTCTGACTGATGGAAGTACCAATGTGAAAACTGTTTACCTTTGGCATTTTATGAAATAAGAGGAGTGTGTTGGCAGGGAGGGTGGGAGAAATCCATTTGTTTTATTTCTTTTTCTCTTTTGTTATTTGTATTAATATGGAAACATTTCACATTCATTGGACAGGGCCATTTATAGGAAGAAGGCTCTATATCCCTGCTGCTGCCCCGAGGGCTTAACTTTTTAATGGAGGAATAAACGCTCTTCCTCTCAGTAGATAAAGTGAAATGTGAATTTTTAATAACTGTACACAGTCAATAAAGGGATGTTTTAACAAATACATCTGCATAAGCCTGTTTCGGTGGAACTTAATAATACCTGTTTAAAATTAGAGCTCATTTTTCTGGGTAGGAGAGAATAATTATCTGAGCCAAAGAAAGCTTCATTTAAGAAAAACAAAAGAAAGATATAAACTCCCAAAATGTATATAAGGATCTCAACATGTTTTGCATGTAGTCAAGTGAGTTGATTTGTAATATTTAAGTACTGCCTTTGTTAGTTTTTCAGTTACCGTCAATTGAGTTAATTAAGCTTATTATGAAACAGTGGTTTTATCAGGTTTTAATATCTTAGGGAAAATTCACTTCTGACCATAACTGGACAGATATGTCATCTAAAAACAAAATGTTCTTTGCCATTTTATGTGAAGTATTAAAAATGTAGTTGTGTACTCTTATTTATATTTAGTCAGGTTTGGCCAGTATAGGAGTGGGTTCATTTAAAAACAAAACTGCCTTTTCCTCTTAAAATCATATCATTGCAATTTTATCAATAATGAAATTCTTCTATGAACTATTTTAATGAATGTGGATATTGTGAGTTCCTTGGCTAGATTTAAATTTGACCAGTACGGCCAGGCTGGTGTTGCTCAGTGGTTGAGCATCGACCTATGAACCAGGACGTCATGGTTGGATTCCCAGTCAGGGCTCATGCTGGATTGTGGGTTCAATCCCCAAAAGGGGGCATGCAGGAGGCAGCCGATTGATGATTCTCATCATTGATGTTTCTATCTCTCTTTCCCTCTCCCTTCCTCTTTCTGAAATCAATAAAAATTTTTTAAAAAAATGTCATATATGAGGAGTAATCTGACATTCAGAGAGTTTCAGGGACAGCTTGAGGACACACAGTCAGCTGTCAGACCAGGTCTTGCCACCCACTCTAAATTACGGCTCATGGCATGGGTATCATGTTATTTCAAATAGAGCAAACTCAACCATTCTGGATCCAACACACATTAAGAAGTAACTTTAAAAACCTTCCAAGATAAGAGAAAAAATACTACAATTGAGTAGCAATGTTTATAATTTATATATTTCTGGAACACATATTATTTGATTTTATAAATATTAATTGAGCTCTGTGATAGGCAAAAATTGACCCCAATTAACCCTCATACTGTATTCCCTCCCCTTGAAGTGTGGGTGGAACTCAAGAATATGATGAAATATCACTGCTGTGATTATGTTACATTGTATGGCAAAAGTAGATAATCCTGGTTGGGCCTTACCTAATCAGGTGAGCCCTTTAAAAGCACAGAATTCTCTCTGGCTGATTATAGATGAGGAAATCAAAGAAACATGTTCCAGCTAGCTTGGAAGGGAGTAAACATCAGTCCTGTAAACTGTCTAATGGGGCCACGTGGCAAGAAACTGTGGGCAGCCTCTAGGAGCTGAGAGCAGTTCTTGGCCAACAGCTAGCAGAAAAATGGGGACATCAGTCCTACAGCTGCAAGCAAATTAATTCTGTCAACAATCAGTGAGTCTAGAAGAGGATCCTGAGCTCCAAATGAGAATCACAGCCCTGGCTAACACCTTGATTTCAGCTCAGAATCTAACCACGCCATGCCTAGACTTCTGACCTTCAGAAACTATGAAATAAAAAATGTGTGTTTACACAGCAATAGAAGTCCCTACAACACTGAAGCACAATCTTAGGTGGTGGGATTACAAAAATAAGGTACTGTCCTTGTCTTCAAGATACTATCTCTTGGGGAGCAGAGAGTAAGTTAATAAAGCGCTACAATGTAATGACATGAGAGCTGCAACTGAGACATGTACAAAGTGGTACAGCAGCCAGATGGGAAAGTGGCAGAAGGCTTCGCAGAAAACCAGAGACTTAAACTAGGTCTTGCTCGTTGAATAGAAGCAATGGGAGAGGGGTTGAGAGTGAGGAGGGTATTCCATCCTGAATGAGTAGCAGGTGGAAAAGGTAAAAGTAGAAGGGCATGGCATATTTAGAAAATGGCAGGTGGTTTTGAGTGGCTATAGTGAAGGGGAAAGGATGAATGAGATGAGACTGACAAGATTGATGAGGGTCCACCTTGTCAAGGACCTCATGAAATGTGTGACTTTTTCCCTGAAGTGGTCCTTCCCTTGCTTCCTGGCCTCATCCCTCTGGCTCCTGATTCCTGTGTGTCTGGGCACCCTGTGCTCCTCCTTCTTACTACACGCAATATGAGGCTATGTGACCCATTTCCCAGGGTGCCGGTCCTTCTGGGCCATCAGTTGGAAAAGTTCCAAGAGTTTCAAAACCTGCTAAGGTATGAGACAGGGAATCCATGGGTTCAATTCAGAAAGCGGGGCTGGCCAGAGAGCCTGGAGTTTGTTCTTTTGGAGCACTTCTTGCCTGAGTATAATGGAGGTGTATAGGGAGTGTGAGGACTTCATCCAAACAACCAATTTCTGACCTTAGGATTTTTAACAAGTAAACAAAAACCCATAATACTTAAGGGTCTTAAAATTACGGTGTTGGCTGAGGCACCAAAAAACAATAGGTGTTACATTCCATAGGAAGTACTAGATCACATAGGATTGTTGGAGATTGGAGAGAGGATATTTTTATATTTATTTTTTTATTGGTGGAATTTTATTTTTAAAGGTGTGTTCTTAGTTCCTACCAAAGTAAAAGGTTGGGGTCACCTAATGTCAAGAGAAAGGGACAGATAGCTTAATATATGTCTCTGGGTAGGAAGAACACAGTGGTCCAGTTCCCTTCTGGGAAATCATGTGAAAGATAAGCTACCAAGCCACGTTGGGTACAGATTGAAAGGGAGCTGCTGTTGCTGCGAGTATGTCTAAAGGAAGGATGTGTGGGGTGTGTGTGTGTGTGTGTGTGTGTGTGTGTGTGTGTGTTCCTTTGGGGATCAGATCTGGGTCAGTCATGAGCAAGGGCTGGCTTCGGGAAGCCTTATGTGCAGCCAAGCCTTAGAAGAACGGGAGCAGAAGGAAAATACTAGGTTCCTAGGGGCTGAGGAAGTAAGTGGCGGCTTAAATGGAGAGCACATTTGCCTGAATCCAGGGAACTGCAGCTGAGGCATCACCAGCTGTGAATGCAATCTCCCAAGAACCTGCAAAAGCCCCTTTGAAATGTAGCCTGCTAAATGTTTACCAGGCCCAGAAAGCTGAAGGCCATCTTACCACTTCACCAGACAGTATTCCTGCTTCTCCCCACTTCTCCTACCTTCTCCCATCCCAACCCTAGAAGAATCAGAAGCTTCCAGGAGCAAAGAGAGAAAGACCTCCCCTTCGACACCTTCCCACCTGCACATGGCTTCTCACGGGGCTAAGGGTGAGACTTAATTTTAAACCAAGGTCAAGTTTTTATTATGACTTAGGAATAGATGCAATAACCCAATTTGAAGTGACCATGGGACTTTCTGTTGCTTGAGAATGCTAAGAGTCCTTACACTACCTGGTTTTAATTTTTTCCTAAACAGAGTAGGAAATTCCCTACTCAGTACATACTGGGAGACATAAATAAAGATGCTATCTGATTGTATTCTATATTCAGAGTACATATGAATTACATGTGCCTAATGTTATTTCTTACCTATAAATATTCATAAATTTACTTTATTAATTCTTATTTGAGAGAGTAATGTGGGTATGTGACTAAGAATCCTGGAGATTTTCATCAATCCCTCTGGTCCCAACAGCTGGCAAATCAAAAGGCAGCTATCTAGAAACACAGCATAGATTCTAGAAGGTGGTTTGATTACACCACTGTTGATAAGCATAAGACAATGTCATGTCACTTAGTATAGTCATTTTCATATGATATTTGTAGCAGCAGTTACTTTTTCTTTCAGAAATTATATTTGCAAAGATCAATTTGTTTTTTAATTTCTTTATTGATTAAGTTATTACATATGTTGTTTTTATATAAAGACTGTTTTTGACACAAGAAGCTCATCATAATATTCTTCCGCTCCCAAATGAAATATTGATATAACCTTTCCTTTCCTTTTTTTCCTAAGCTGATGCTTTAAAAAGGAGTGGAACAAACACTGAATTTGAGACTGAATATTGCTGATCTTAGTTACAGTGCTGCTGTCTTCCAGATGTCTCACCAGATCATTCGCAGTAACTCTTTGGCCAATTTATCACAGGAAACAGAGGTTTGCTCAGGGTAGGGTTGTTCTGTTTGTTTATAATAATGCAGCAACTCGTAGAAGTCTGACAGTAGGAATCACAGTAGGGCCGGGCCTCAGGGAAGTATTCTGAAGGAACCATAGAAATCAAAGCAGAACCCTTCTCACTGTGCCTCAGCTTCTTTCTTTTCATCTTCTCTCCAGGCTCACCACATCCCCTGCTTACTCAGAGTATCTGCTTTCTCAGAACTGCAGCATGTTCTTGCCCATCATTCCTGCTGACCCTTCTGCACATGAATGGTCTGAGACTCTCAGCTTCTCCATTCTGAAATCCCAAAAGAGGAATTTTGCTCATCTAGCTTTTACAGCCAGCCACCCAAGTCGTGTGTTAGCTAATCAAACTTACAGAAAGAGTTACCACTGGGTCCGGTGCCCATCCCTGGCCCAATCAACTATGGGGACCGAGATCATTTGGTATGCAAATCATAGTCACTGCCCACTCAACAGAGATTAAAAGCATGGTTGGCAATAATCAGTAGCTCTGGCACACATCCAAAAAGTTGTAAGAGCATGTCATTCTACCACGTTCAAAAGTTCATTTATATCCTACTCATGAGAGTAATGAGGACTTGAACTAGGAAAATGGGAGTTGGAAAGAAATATCAGGAGATATTTGGGAGTAAGGTTAACAAAACTTCATTACTGACTGGAGGGGGTGAGGGAAGAGTGAGTAGAGAGAAAGCATGGAGCCCGGGATGAATCCCAGTCTTGCTGTGTCTATTGGGTAAGTCCTAGTACTTACTATTTGAGACAGAGAGCATGATAGGAAGGGAAAGTTAATTTTTGGCTGTGTTTGGTAGATGGGAAAGATGGGACATGGGAAATCTGCCATGCTTGTGGAACATCTAAGTAAAGATTAAAGTTGGAAGTTCAAATCAGAGGTCTGGGTGTGAGGTGCAGAATATGGCTGGAACTGCATCCATCTGGCATGGAGACAAGGAGACTAGGACTGAGCCCTGGGAAATACCAATCTTGACCACCTGGGTAGAAGAAGGGCCAGTGAAGGCAATGGGAATGAAAGGAGATAAAACTAGCAGTGGGAAAAGTTCATGCAATTTTAATATTTGATGCCTTTTGTTTTATAGCACCAGTTTCTAATCACTGGAACCTGTGCATGTTACTTTATATGCCAAAAAAAAAAAAAAAAACTTTGCAGATGCAGTCAAGAATCTTGAGATGGAGAAATTATCATGGATTATCCAGGTAGGTCCTAAATATAATCACAAATGTCCTTATAAGAGGGAAATTTGACTACAGAAGAGAAAGCAGGCATGGCTGATGTGGCTCAGTGGTTGAACGTTGACCCATGAACCAGGAAGTCAGGATTTGATTCTTGGTCAGAGCACATGCCCAGGTTGTGGGCTTGATCCCCAGTAGGGGGCATACAGGAGGCAGCCGATCAATGATTCTCATTATTGATGTTTCTTCTCTCCCTTTCCTTTCCTCTCTCTGAAATCAATAAAAACATATATAAGAGAGAGAGAGAGAGAGAGAGAGAGAGAGAGGGAGAGAGAGAGAAAGCAGGAGATGTGACAATGGAAGCAAGAGGTTGGAGTAATTTATGAAAGGGGTCATGAGCCAAGAAATGCAAGTGGCCTCCAGAAACTAGAAAAGAAAAAACAAAAAACAACAATGTTCCTTAGAGCCTTCAGAAGGAATAAGCCCTTCTAACATCTTGACTTTAGATTTTTGGCCTACAGAATAATAAGAAATTAATCTTGTGTTGTTTTTAAGCCACAAAGTTTTGGTAATTTGTTACAGCAGCAATAGGGAACTAATACAAATGGTGACTTGACCTTATTGAGAACAATTTTGGCAGTGGGGAGGGAAGAAGATAAAGAAAGAAAGAGAAAGAAAGAAAGAAGGAAGGAAGGGAAGGGAA